GTCATTTCTTTATTTTTTCATAGGGAAATGTGGAAGCGGCCTACTCTTTGTACGAACAGGCCATTGCCATTGAAAAAGGAAAAGAGCATTCACAGATGTTACCCATGTTGTACGCTCAGTACTCTCGGTTCACTTACCTGGTAGGTTATTAGTTGATGTCTGTCTTTTATTTTGGTATACTGTTGAAGTTTTAACTTATTTTTTGTATTTCCCTATTCATTTTTTACTTCTCTAGATTGTACCCCTGCAGCGTAATTATGCTCTTTTAATAAAACAATTTTTCGTTTTTTGACTGTCAAAGCTTGGGTTTTTCTATTGATTGTTTTTTTTTAAGTCTTGTGGATCATACTAGAGTTGTTTTTGGTGGTTCTTTTTATATTTATATGTGCATTTTTCCTCTGAATTATATCTGGTATCACTTACATTTTTTTTTTCAATAATCAGAACGAGAAATTGATGTCATGAAATTCTTTTGTCCCCAGGTTTCTTCGAATGCAGAAAAAGCTAGAGAAATTTTAGATGGGGCACTCGAGCATATACAATTGTCAAGAGCATTTCTTGAGGTTCTCTCTTCTCTCTCTCTCTCTCTCTCTCTCTCTCTGCATAGTTACACACACATATGGATATTTTCTCCTCCCTTGTAGCCAATGTCCTAATTTCCCGCATTCCCTTAATTTTCACATGCAGTCCATGATAGTTTTCGAGACAATACAGCCACTGCCAAAGCGAATCGATCACATAGATTCGTTAGTTGTGAAGTTCATAGAGCCCAGCTCAGAGAGCCCCAATTTTGCTAGCGTTACTGACAGAGAAGAGCTATCTGGCATCTATTTGGAGGTATAGAGTTTATGTTTTCTTGTAAGATTAACTTTTCAGAGAAGTATATATACAGTTGAGTTGAATGTTGAATGTCTCACTCTCTCTCTCTCTTTCTCACACACACACACACACACATTTAACTATTGAAAGGTGGCCACTAGCATTACGGTTCAGTAATATTCATCTCCACTTGTCAGTGGGAGGTTTTAGGTCCAACTACCATTAATCGCGAGTTTGATACCAGATTATGTTTGGCTTAACCCAATCCGCCACCCCCCAATATCGTTGTATCCAAAAAAAATTTAGAGAAGGTGTAATGTGCCTGGGAATTTGTATGTTGGTCGAGTATGGGAGTAATATTGACCATCTTTCGTTAATTGGAGGAGTGAATCACTTGTCTTTCTGGTGGACTTCCTCTGGGAGTAGGAAGAGTTATGGTTTGGTCTGCTATGTGATTTTTTTGTTTTGAAGTCTTGTTCTTGCTTTATTAATACCCTCAGTGCATGTTTATGTTCTGTCACTGGTGAAATACTTTAATGGTTTTCAGTAAAGGATGCTGCTCTTGAAGAAGTTTGCATCCAAAGTTAATTTTCATGTGTCCTTTTGGCCTTTTAAATGCCAGAATGTTCCGTTTCTTTCAGATTTTATTTTATTTTGGCCTCCTAGTTCTGACACTCTAACAAATGACTTTGTAGTTTGTTAATCTCTTTGGAGATGCACAGTCTATCAAGAAGGCTGAGGATCGACATGCTAAGCTCTTCTTACCTCATAGGAGCAGCACATCAGAGTTGAAAAAACGTCAAGCGGAGGACTTTTTATCTTCCGATAAAGTGAAGCTAGCTAAAGCTTACTCTGGTGTTCCATCCCCCGTCCAGTCGGTCATGGGAGCATATCCAAATACACAGAACCAATGGCCATCTGGTTACGGTGTGCAGCCTCAAGCTTGGCCACCAGCTACGCAAGCTACACAGGGACAACAGTGGCCAGCTGGTTATACCCAACAGGTGGTTTTCCGACATGATTCATTTGATAGAGTAATCTTTTGTTGTTCAACGATGAATTTTTACGTTTGCCCCATTATTTTGAATCTTAAAAGAAGAAATGATTATCTGATTCCTTTGTTCAAATTTTGTTTCAATAGCCGTACAATGCATATAGTGGTTATGGAGCTGGCTACACTAATCCCCAAGCACCCGCGGTGGCGCCACAAACTGCTGCTTATGGTGCTTATCCTTCTACATATCCTCCTCAGGTATGTTATCGATGAGCATTAGTACTACTCTCATTTATTCTGGCGTTTCGTTTAGTTTCTGAGAGCTGATAGTTTAGTTGCAATCTCAGCAGGCCGTCCCGCCTCAAAGTTACGCACATCCAGCCGTGGCAGCAGTAGCACCGGCTCCGCAGCCTGCTTCAGCTCCTCAGGCGTATTATGGGAGTTACTACTGACGCGGCTGGAATAGCCTGCATAGTTAGCCTTTGTAGTTTAATTTTCTTCTTTTGAAAACCTGACCGACGCTGAGTTATGTTTTTCGGAAACGTTGGTTTGTACTTCGTAGCTGACAGATTTTTGGGGGAGACAGAGATAGGGATCAGTTTAATCGTTCCTGGAAATTGTATTCGTATAGAAATTTATCGATCTTTAACATGATATTTAATTGTTGTTTACTGTAAATTCAACTATATCATCGTTGTCGGAAGATCTGGAGAGGATCTCTTTCCTCATTGGAGGATCATTTGTCAGAAGCACTTCCAGTAAAAAGGTTTTTAATAGCACTTTGGAATTTGAAATAAAAATGCGAGTGTTTGGCTAAATATGATCAAAATCGTTTTTGGTGATCTGAAAGCATTTTTAATTATTTTAAAAGTATAGACTTTAGATATGACTGAAAGGTAGAAGATATATACTTATTATTGAGACTTATTTATAATTGGACAAACAATAATATTGATCGTTGATGCAAGTTACAATGAAGAACTAGACAAACAAGAGTGAGATTGTCATTGAATGTGAGTCCCATGTTGGGATTTACATCCACGCAAATTCTGATACAACGCATGACTCATCTTATCAAAAGTCCACACAAATAAGAACTAGATGGTCAATTCATGTGAGTCACATAATTGGAGTATTTATCAAATATAGTCAAAATTAATCCTTAATTTAAAAAATGTCACTTTTATAAAATATAACAAATACATCCATATTTCTACTTGAATAGACACAAATACCCTCAAATTTAACAATCAAATAAATTAAAGGTTTTTTAACCAAAATGATTCATGAATAACTCCTTAATTTGGTCCTTAACAATAAATGATAACAATAGTAATGTTCTTGAATTTGTCTATCGTGAATCATTTTAGTCTTTCTTTGAATTTGTCCATCACTCATTTTAATTTTTTCGTGAAAAATTTGTCAATTGCTCTGTTAGTGTGATGACGATGTGGTGCCATATTTGTCTCACAATTATAATCATATAACGACATGTGGATTAACTTTAAAAACTATTTTTATATTTAAAACTAAAAATGATATTAGTAAGAAAAAAGGTGTTGAAGACATGATTGAAATTGTGTTGCTCCCACTTATGGTAACTGCGACGACGCTCAATGTCGGTGATGAGGGGTCGAAGGGGATAGGATTGTGGTGGTGGAGTGTAGAAGCAAAGGTGAAGTTGGACCGGAGCTTGAGGCGATAGTAGCTAAAAAGCCTTTAATTTATTTAATTGTTAAATTTGAGGGTATTTGTGTCTATTTATATGAAATTTTGGATATATTTGAAAGTTTGTATACAAAGTGACATTTTTGAAATTAAGAGTTAATTTTTGGCTATATTTGACAAATACTTCATAATTTACATGCATTTGCGTGCAGCTTCTTGACACAACGCACAACTTACATTGACACAATCTAAACAAACAAAAACTTCATTGTCAATCCATGTGAGACTTAATAGTCATATCGACCTACATTTACGCGACTTCTTGTCCCAACGCACAACTAACGGCAGCAAAGTCCGAAAAAGCAAAGTTCTTTTTACCCTAATTGGGTAATTATTCCTACCTTATTTGGGTGGTGCAAAATCAGTTGCCGAACCCTCACGTTATGGTGACGGACAGACTTTTGGACATTTCGGAAATTAACAATCCTTGCCACGTTCCTTTGTTTGACAAAAGCCAATCCAAACACATGATTTTAACCCGAATTGGCAAAAACCACTCCTTCATCTTTCCTCTGTACCTTTCCACTCGGCCTCACAGAATCAGGAAATTTAGCCACACGTTTGCAAACCCCCGATCGCACGTTTGCAAACCCCCGACCAAAAGATCAAGTGGACCGCATTTGATCACGCTCTCATCCACTACTACTTTCCCAACACACCCCTTGCTACGATCTCAGCCGTCCATTTCATAACTCTATTCCCATCTGGCCCCTAAACTTTCAATTTTGTTCTCAAAGTCTAATCTTTTAAATTGTGTTATTCTTCTATTAGGGTTACGTGTATTTGATTCTCATAAGTAAGACTCATGTGTTTTTAATCAAACTTTTTTAAAATGATATGAGTTTAATAATTGTGAAAGTCATATTCTCTGACAATTCAACTCATAAAACCTATATGTTATAGCCCACAATCGACTCGACCCTGATGAAATTAGACTGAAATTTTCCACTTGTGAAAAGTCTCGTTGAATTGGACTTCCTATATTAGTTCATCTTAATGGAAAACACTAAGGAAATGTGATACATGTAGTAGATACTAGCAAATTGACACGTTATAAAAGATTAGAGATTCAAAACCCAGTTGAAAGTCGATAAGGAAAATCATAAACTTGTGGGTGGCTCGGTAAATATGAATGAGGATCCTCTTTGTGAGGATTCCGAAAATCCCTCAATCACGTCTGTTCATCATACATCATACGGGCAGAAATATTTATAAATTTTTTTATTTAAAATTAAATATAAATAATACTTGACAAAAATTGACTGTACGATATACGGTGAACAGAACTAATTGAAAGATTTCCGAAATCGAAGATCTGATCCTGATTCGGTAAATATATCCCAATGCATATCTTTTACGCAAGCTTTTGCTTGGGGTTTCGTTGAACGGCCAAGATTCGAAGCAATCGAACGGCCACGCTTTCTTGCCGCAAAACCCTTTAAAATTAGCGAATCGGAGGCGCACAAGGCAGAAGCCGGAAGCAAGCAGCAGAAGTAGAGCCCTTTGGAAGGTAGAAAGCCCCCCACTCTCTCTCTAAAAAGTCTCTGAATCATTTCTTCTTCCGAAGATTTCTCGCCATTTCTGAGCTTCCGTTTACTTCCGGTCATCGGAAAGCTAAGACGGAGACGAATCCGGAGCTGCCCTAAAACCTTTGGGGGTTTAGGGTTTCGGATTTGTAGTTGCCTCTCTGTGTGTGTGGATCTGCGGCCGATCAGAGTGTTGAAGGACATAACCGCGAGTTGGGGTTTACAGAGTTCGCCGTCGCTGCATGTTTTTCTTCTGAGAGAGGAGGCAATGGCGAGTTCTTATCCGGGAGCTGTTAGTGCTGTTCAGGTCAAGATTCAATCTTTATACTATTTCCGCTGTGTGTTTATATCTATTGTGTGTGTGTATGGGTGGTTTTGTATTGTGTGTAATGGATGGTTTGGGGGTTTTTGTAGGTGGGTTCGTACTTTGTGACCCAGTACTATCAGATTCTTCAAAAGAAACCCGATGTTGTTCATCAGTTCTACTCTGATGGAAGCTCCATGATTCGTATCGATGGCGATGCAACGGAATCTGCTGCCGGTATACTGGTAATTGTTGCCTTGTTACTCGCATGGATTTGAGTTTCTTGGTCAATGATAAATCAACATGTGTTTCTGAGAAATGATAGTCACTTTGTATTGCCATGCTCTGATTTTTTACTGTTTGGACTATATGCTGTTTCCTAGACCAAGAGGCGTGCCTCAGTTTGAATATAAAGCTACATCTCTATTATTATGTCAAGCTACAATTAAATGTTTGTGAAAGTCTAATTATCGGGGATTGGAATTGACTTACTCTGCATATGTACCGTTAACAACCTCTACTACATGCTCCTGATGTTTATGGCCCCCAATGCTTTCCTTTAGTCATGGATAACTTTAAGTGGTAGCTGATGAGGTTCATCCCAATTACGAACCAAGAATAAATAAAAAGGGAACTTTAGATGTATGGAAGTTGTTGGAATTGACTATCACCTTAAGTTTAGTGTTGTTGATTCCGAGGGAAAATTTAATATGTAACCCCTGCTTTAAGACTTTTAACTTATGGTTTGTATGTCCATTATTTGATCCTCAGTCAAGTGATGTTGAATGTTAATGTACAACCTTCTACATTCATGCAAGCATGTTTGTCATTTCAGATGACTCATTTGTATTCGTAGGTTGGATAGTTTTAGATCTGTGTGTTGTTTATTTTGTGCCCCTGTTATGTCATTAGCTCATGTGATGCTTTTTTTTTTTTCCCTGCAGCAAATTCATTCACTCGTAGTATCTCTAGGTGTTACCTCAATTGAGATCCAGACAATCAATTCCAGTGATTCTTGGGATGGAGGTATTCTTGTGATGGTTAAAGGGTTTGTTAAAACAAGGGAATCAAGTGGAAAGAGGAAATTTGTCCAGACTTTCTTTCTGGCTCCCCAGGACAAAGGTTACTTTGTTCTCAATGATATGCTTCAGTTCATTGAGGATGAAGTTGCTTTCCAACATCCTGAACCCATACAGTCAGAAAGCAGATTTGATATGCAACTTAGCGCTTCTAGCCCCCTTCCGGAACCACCAGGTGCTGTGACACTGCTGATATTACTTTGCTGGAGAAAGTTGGTCTGTATGTATTGGCTATAACTCAGTTTTTTTTTTTTGTTTTCTTGCAGTTTCTGACTATGTTTATGAGGAGGATCCCAGGGAGTATGTGAACTCCGTTGATGTAGAAGATGATCCAGTTGATAAGTATAGTCTCCCAGAGCAACAGGTGCAGCAAGATTTTGAGACTGAAGTTGTGGTGGAGGAAACTCCTGCAGAGGAGACATATTCTTCGTTTCAAAGTGTGGTAAACAATGTGCAAGACGAACCTGCTGCTGCTGTGGAGGAACCGGTGGGAGAGCCTCAAAAGAAAACTTATGCTTCTATAGTATGTGCCTAAACCCATTGTTTTGTGATCATGTCTTTATGGCCTTCTCTGCATCTTTGCGTGAGTGAATTTTTCTTTTGTGCATCAGCTGGAAACTACTTCGACTATACTGCTGTTGCACAACAATCTTACATTCCGTTAAGCTCTATTTTGTTGAATATGCTTTTGTAACTTGTGCTATATATTTTGTTGTATATGACTGAAAAATAATAGTTGCGGGTTGCTAAAGAACCGTCTGCACCAGTAGCAGCTCCACAACCTTATAATAGAAGTGCTCAAACTTCATCAGAGTGGAGTTACACACCTCAGCCTGCTGTTGAACAATCCAACTCTGCTCAGTCATTTGTGCCCGAGTCTGGGGCAGAAGCAACAGAGGAAGGTTATGCACTGGAGGAAGAAGGTAGCTTTTGAGCCATATTTTACGCTTTATGACATCAGCGAACTAAATTATCCATTGTTATTTTGTTGACCATGCTGGTTGTTACACCTGTTTATATTGCATTCTACTGTATTATAAATTTATTAGATTATTTTCTTTTGCAGAATGAAACTGATGAGTGACCATGCTATTAATTTTTGTATTTTAAATTGTATGATAAAGATTCATAATTTGATTTTTAAAATGAGAAGTTGGTTGGTGAGCTCCATGTATGAGGAATTTAGGATTGAAATTTTAGTTTCTTTGGTATGTCGAGATGTAGTTTTATTAATTTAACTTAGTACATTTTAAGCTTTTGTAAGTTGAACCTCGTGTTAAATTATTGTTCCAGGTGAACTTCTGAAATCTGTCTATGTAAGAAATTTGCCTCCTACGGTTTCTGAAGATGAGATCGAGGAGGAGTTTAAAAACTTTGGTCAAATTAGACCTGATGGGGTCTTTGTTAGGGCTCGCAAGGTGAGTGTATCTACAATTACTGCCAGTATCTATGAACTGGATCGGAGCTAAAGTAGAAATTGGTGCATGCAGGAAATTGGAGTCTGCTACGCTTTTGTTGAATATGAAGACATTGCTAGCGTTCACAATGCACTCAAGGTTTGATTTTTTGGTTAGAAGGATTTGAGTTCTTTGTTTACCTTTCAAAATGTTCATTGGATTAAGGCAAATTTCCTTTTATTTGATGAAAGTCTTCTCAGTCCTCATATGTGGTCCTGCATCTGTTGCGGTTTCTTAGGGCATGATGCATTTGTCTTTGGGCGTTCAATTGTTTAAAGAGTTCCCATACTTGCACTTTTGTCAACGTTGATGATCTATCTGCCTTTGTATTTGCTTTGTTATTTATTTTTTGGGCGTGCTTGTAATTTACACCTCTATACTTAAATATGTGTGGGCTTTGTTGTTGTGGCGTTTTGGCTCTTAAGGTCATTGGTTGCAGATGAATGGTTCAATCTTTCAATGCAAAGTGTAATTTGGATTTCTTGTGGGATATGGTCAGTTATTAGACAATCTCAATGGGATTCTTTATCGAGAGTTAAATGCAAAGTATTATTGTGATGATCTGTATATGTTGTGCATGGCCTGAAAGCGTGTTTTTCCCTGTAGGCATCTCCAATTCATTTAGCTGGAAGGCAAGTTTACATTGAGGAGCGGAGACCAAACAGCGCTGGAGCGGCAGCTCGAGGAAGTAAGTGCTTAATTTCATTATCCTTATATGATTAAAATCTTTGATGTGGCAAAGTTAAATGCTGTCAGACTATGCCTGCATTCTTTAAATACTGTATCTGTTGGAAAAACTTGACTGTTAGGGGATGTACCGGGGATGTTGGGTGGAGTCCTGGAGATGCCCCTCATGGTTGTGTTTGTCCTAACTCCTCATGTTGGCAGCTGCTGCAAGGAAGTGGTGTTGCCTTCATATATCGTGGAAATTTTTTGTGTTAGGGATAGAGAACATGCTTTTTCTCAATCAGTCTCGGAATCAATTTTGCATTACTCGTATAATCTGTCAGTATGATGTGCATGTCAAGGTTTTTCGTGGAATCACATCATTTCTGTTCATGAGCTTAGTGAGTCTATTGGCATTGCCAGCATTTAGAATGTGATCTACCAAATTATGAAGCATCTGTTTTCATTAGAGTTAACTGGTTAATTCGCTCAACTTTTGGTCTCATTATGTGCATTTTGATTTTTAAACCAGGAGGAAGGGGTAGAGGCAGAGGCGGTTACCAAACTGACGCCACAAGGGGGCGTTTTGGTGGCCGGGGTTCAGGCAGGGGTAGTTACCAGGATGGAGATTACAACAGACCAAGAGGCAATGGTTTCCATCAGCGTGGCACACGATAAGCCAGCAAGGAGTTTAGAAGTTCCAAGTCCACACGGACAGAATATCGAAGGAAAATTTACGTGAGGGGTGATTGAAAGCTTTTCGAATGCAGAAGATTCCCGATCGAGTATTTTCCTCTCTAGATAGTTTCATCAAATTGTATTTGTACTTTTTGAGTGTCACATGAAATTTTATTTGAACTTCCGTTTACAATTACAAGTTTTCGTACCCCTTGGATAGTTTTTATCTGCAATTCAAGTGGGGAATTTTGGGCCTTCGACGCCCCTAGTTGTGAGGGTATGTGTTAAGATGTTTGTTTCCAGTTTTCTACATGAAGGTATTCTGTTTTCGTTAATTTTTCGTGTTTCTGATTTGTTGTGCCTTTGCTTCAAGACCTATTATTCTGTTTTTCCGGTGATCGGATTTACTTCCGTTCTCATTCCGAGTATCGTCACTAACGGAAGAGGTAAAAAGTGAGAGGACAAATCATCCGGCAAAACTTTATACCATTTCGTCTAAGAAAAATGTTACATGAGTATTCATCGTCTACAATGCCCTCTGGTCATTGCTTGCTAGTGTTCTTCAGCTTCAAAATTATGACTACAATAACAGACGCAGCCCCCGTATATGCTTTACAACCTAGTCACCATACAATGCTATCAAAAGATTTTTTTAGGCACTTGCGGATGCCATGATTCCCTCATGAAGATAAGATGGCATGGCACGAGGATCGTTCTTCGCTTCAGCTTCGTCCTCGTCGTCCTCTACTTCCCAGAGAAAACCGGCGTACGCTGCGTGGACAAAGCTGAAATTGAAAAATGGCAAGTCATGTTATAAAGGGTGTGCGGAAATCATTTCCGTTAATTTAGACCTAAAATTCAACCTACCTGTCTTGAGGTGCAGCTTGGACTGCTCGTTCATAGTAGCTTAAGGCTCTCTCTTGGTCATGGTGTAGCTCCCATATTAGCTTAGCGTATTGAGCCATAACTTCACCATCATTAGGATCTGCTAGGATAGCTCTATAGTAGCACTCCTCTGCCCCATGAAGATCTCTCTTGGTCTGAAAACAAACATTTGATTTTAGTATACTCACAAAGACCGGAAATTAAAAGTCGAAAACACATCAGACGTGGGTTAGGTCAGTTTAGCCAAGGCAGTGTGTCCCCTCTTACACCTGAGTTTGATTCTAATCTCCGTATACTAGAGTAGTTTTGAAAGTTGAAGACACAAAGTTATAGAAGCAGTGGAGGTTCACCTTATACAAAAATTGAGCATAATTTCTAAGGAACAAAGGGTTGCCTGGATTTTCCTCAACCAGCTTCTTGTGATGCGTCTCAGCCCCATGGTTGTCATCTCCTCCATCACCATCATAGCCATCCCAATTAACATCTCCACCACCGCGGCTACCGCTTCCACCACCACCACCACCACTACCACCACCAAGCCCTAGCCCCCTTGCAAGATACATTTCTTGACTCGCAAGCTCTCTTTTTTCCTCAAACCCTGTATTCCATATTTTGTCCAAAAACTTCACATCCCGAGTTAACCTCATGTTCTTCACCTTCTCCTCTAAACAAACACTTTCGCCTTCCATCGCCGTCACTCTCTCCACATTCTCCTCATCAAACTCTTCTTCTTCTTCTTCTTCCTCGTATTCCACATCACTATCGTCCTCATCGTCGTCGTAACCACCCGACTTATGCAACGAAGGAGACGGTATAGTTTGCAGCATCGTGCACTTGGATCTTGCGGAGAACATGTTGAGTAGTTTTGAATCAAAGAACTGATCCTCAGTGTCACAAGAAGCATAGGCCAGTCCTTCCAAGTTCCCATCAGACTGAGCCCTTCGGAACCCGGTTAGCGAATGCCGGTCCGAATCAAGGGAGGAGTGAGAGATTGGTGAGGAGTTGTGTGAGATGTTGAGATATCCAGGTTGGTGGAATGAGAACTTGGTGGGAGCATGTTGGTGGAAGGTGTTTGGTTTGGGATCTGAGTGATGATTGCTGATGATGTTAGGGCTTTCTGAGGCGTATGATGCAAGGAGAGATCCAATCACTGGGGTTGATGAGCTCCTTAGCAACATGATTGAAAGCTTTTGCTGATGATTTTCTGTGATCTGTTATGCTGACAAAATTCTGTAAATGTTGGCAATAATAATATATGAGTTAGTGAAGTTGTATTATGAAGCTCAATTATTACAATATGCAGCCAAAAATTCAATATATTTATTTTCTATCGTTAGGTTTGTTCGGAAGTGCTTTGGAAGAGCCAAAAACACTTTAGAGAACGTTTGAAAGAAACATAAAAGTGCTTCTTGGTCATTAAAGCGATGGGATATTTTGTGAACTTTTGAGCTCTTCTAGTAAAAACATTTCTGGTGAACGTTCTTGTGAGCTTATGAGCATAAATACTTTCTACATAAATAGTCTAAATAGGCTTGAAGTGAATTATGCAGTTGTAGACCATGTACACTTTCCGATTACGAAAATCGAACCTTAAACCTATTCTAATCCTAACCCATACGAAACTACAACATTTTCTTTCAAAAAGATGAATCTTGTAAAAAGAGAAGAAAAAAAGGGGGACCAAAAGAAGAACAGTCCCATGAAAGCATTTGAAAACATGAGAAAATGAATAACAACGAGGAAGAAAGAAGCATTACCACTTTTTGGGATTCCAATTCCAAACACTCCTAAATTCCAATGCCGTAAAGGAAAAAGAATTATATTAATTAGCTTTTGTGTTTTTCTGCAGACATTGCTTCTGATATATATAGGGGCGGCTGGAATCTGGAGACGTGTGTTCTTATTGAATTTGACTTCCTTTTTTCCTTGGAAAATAATAAAAATATGATAACATTTGAATGGTTGTATTTTGTTTGGTGCAAAATATCAAGTTTTGGTTGCTTTCCTAGGCTGGAAAAGGTAAAGGATCTTTCAGGAAGCTGATGCGAAATGAAAGCTCTGCGGTGCAGCATATCCACCGTTGAATGCTCTCTCTCTCTCTCCACCAACTTTCTTCAGAAAAATCACATGACACTTGACCATTACAAGTTTTGGTTCTTTTCTTGGCCTGCCTAGGAGGAGAGGACGGCTAGATACAGGTAACTAATAGGGTAATGTAAGAGAGATTAAAATTATAGACGGAATTTTGAAAATTAAATGATATTGAAGTTGATGATTGATTTATTTATTACTTAAACGTTTATAAAAATGTTTATTCTTATTAATGACGCATCATTCGATTTACAAATTTTGTCTCTAAATTTAGTCTCGCAAGTTTTACTCTAGGTAACGAAAAGTACTTAAAGTTGATAAACACTTGTGCTTTGTCCTCGTTGTGCAAGTAACTTTACAGCCGTACACGTGGCAGCGATTGGACGGACACAAAGGTTAACGGCGCGCCTTCCATAATCAACGAACAATATTCATGGTGACAACAAGATTCATCCGATGCATTGTATTGTCTTTTGAAATGCATTTGAGCCTCGAGGCATCATAGCGCTCTTTCTAGAACATTTTAATTTGAAATTGATACGCTACTGGTCCTACGATTTAGTTGTGTTTCTTCTCATTTACAAGTGGTAACTCTTTCTTTAAAAGTTTTAGGTGAGAGGTCATGTAATATTGTTAATACGGTCTAGTCCTAATTCATTTATTTAAGAGAGCTTTAAAGAAAAAGGTTTGGGCCAACTTTTTCTTAACAAAAAACTACAATAAACTTTTATTTAACTAAAAGGGCTTAAGAGTTGGGGAATTTTAACGAAAAATTCCTGGTACTGTTCATCTTAATGAAAAATCACATTTTTACACTAAAAAATCAATCATAGTACTATTCACTTTACTTTTTATTTTGTCCTTATCGTTAAAACTCAAAAATTTCAAATCATTTTCATTAATTTTTCATAAAGTTTAACTATAAGGACAAAATTATTCACGTACCAGCCCTACACACATTAAAAACATGGGCTGAATTAAAGCCCAACCCGCAATAAAATTCTTTTTCCATAATTACCCCTAACAGGCTGGAATGTATGCGTGGACGAGCTTGTCGCTTGGTATTCCCCAAAGCAACAGGAATGCATGACAGAGTTTGTATTGTTAGATTATTTTGCGGGAGATTCGCCCATTAATGCTTAAAAATTTATTCAAAAACAAAAAAAAAAAAAAACGTCATTTTGATACAATTAGACTACTAGTCACCTTTTGTAGAGTATGTTATTATGCAGGTAGTCCATAAGCTAACATAGTCTTGCATCCAAAAATAAGATTAATATAATTAAGGTACATCTCATAAGAAATTTTAGGGTGTATTAATTATATTGTCGCATTGTGTTATTAGTTTACTAATGACTGCTAACGATATAACAGATATTTCGTAACTTAAGTCATAATAACTATGAATAAATAAGTATATATACAAACTCAACATCAATCAAACGGTACACTACATAAACCACCATGGGGTTTCTAATGGTTGGGAACAAATTTCAGGCCCGTATTCTATTTTATGGTGTGACAAATACAATATTTTTGCATGTGTTGAACTTTGGAGATAAATTGACACACCCCGACCGAGATCAGGACATGCTGGCCGTCACGTGGAAGTGATGTAACCATGTGCACAGTACGGAAGCTAAATAAAATAATAATAAAAGTACGAATAAATAAAAAAAAACAGCTTTACACAAAGTAATAACATACATGTGCAAGCGTAAGTGTGAAAATAAAGTTCAGAACACGAAGACCTAATGCAGTCCGGGAGAAACAACACTACATAACCACACCCGAAGATGGTCCTACATTGGTGATAATCTGTCAAATATGCCAGGAAAATCCTCTGGGGAGCCACCAAGAATGCTAGCCAACTAGAACCTGGAGGGGCACAAAACAAAAGTGTGAGTGGGCAAAAACAAAGCTTTTAAAAAAAAACCGTTTCAAAAACATGATTCTAACCCCTCGCCGTAAAACCTGTATACTTCCCAGAAACATAATATACATATATATATAATCATGCTCGGAAAATATGACATGCCAAATGTCTCTAAATAGAATGTAAGTGCTTAGGAAATATCAAATTAATGCCATGAATCTGTCAGCCGGAGTCACCTAACGTGACCTGTACGGCTGAATCTAGAGCTCGAATCTCCATTTCACTAACTATACCTGCACAAGAGTCGGAACCACCTAAAGTGGTATGTACGACAGGATTGGGTGTAATATAAGTACGCTCAAGTGCTACGATCACGTGAAGGCTGGTCGAATAATCGCGGGTTACCTATGAGTCGGAACCACCTAAAGTGGTCTATAAGACATGACTGTGCACCTAACTTGGATCCAAGATAAGTGTGTGGTG